AACCCCCCCCCCCCCACACACACACACACACAATGCAGCCAAATCTGATTCCCCATCATCCCCTGAATGATGCCTTTTGTGTTCCTGCTTTAGCCTGTAATCCATTTTTATCTAATTTGGATCTTTCCTTTCTCAATCTTCAATCTATTTATTTCATATAGCCAATATTCATTTAACTTACCTACATATTTGTTTATTGTCAGTTGCCTTTTTTAATAGTTTTGATCCTCTGCCAGAATTCTTGATTTTGTCTTTTATTCCCTTTAACATAGAAAGTACAATTCTGTTAAAGTATGTGACTGCTAAAAGGGGCCTGTAGGTCTGTTTCTATTATGTATGCCCCCCCCCGGGTTCTTTTTCATATGTGTACTGGGTTATTTTTTAAATATGTGCCAAATGTTGTATCTGTAAATTTATTTGAAGAAATAAAATATGAGGCCTAGGATGATGTAAGCCCTATGAAGAAGAAGGTAGGAGCACACAGGGTCATAACAATCTAGGATCACTTGAGCTCCTTTTCAAGTGTTACGTTTTGTTTCTGTTCTGATTCACAGGTCCCCTCCTGGGGTTTGTAGGTTTGGGGGATTCCAGTTTAAACTGGGTGGTTTATCAGCCTCCTTTCCTCCCCATTGGGTGGCCCTATTCTCTTTTTGTCCCTCTATCTTCATTAAGCTGTCCAAAGGGCTGCCTGCCTCCACAGCTGATGTGAAGGTCGGTAAATCTCCCCGGGAGCCTGTGGCTGCACCTTGGGCGGTCGTCCTCTCCCAGGTCTTGGTTTGATGATTCTTGTAATCTCTCCATGCCTCTAGCAGATGCCAGGTTTTTCTAGTTCTCAGCAGAAGACTTAATCTGAATTACCCGGTTTTCCATCACTGGAAGTCAGCCACCATTGAAACTTTTCTTCTAAAACTGAAGTCGTCTTTTCCTCCCTCGTCCTCTAATATAACTTATATATGTTTTGCTTTGCTTCTTTAAGAACACTCAATGTTTACACCTCACATTTCAGTTACTAGGTTAAATATTAACTTACCATAATTTGTGCTTAATAAATTCACAGTGATGCTCCCTAGTTAATCATTTATTTCTTTTTCTTAATTCAACATATATAGTCATCTAATTAACTGATCAGGACAGCAAAGTTAATTTGCAATGGGACTCTTGTCACTTTTGCCTGTTATTTGGTAAAATTGTTGGTCTTTTAACCACAGATTAATACATCACTAGTTATTTTAGTTTCTAGAGAAAGAATGGTTCCAGATATGGCTTGTAAACAAATATATTAACAATACTATGCTAGTAATAAAAAAATTAAAATACATTAAAAGTACCTTTTTTTTAATCAATTGACACAATAATGGTACAACAGCCAGTTGAGAAGTAGTGAAGCGAAATCAGTACTCTTACCTTATAATTTAGGACAACCCTTTAAGAAAGTATTTTGGCATATAAACTGTAAGAAGCCATAAAAATGTCATCTCTCTGGATATAGTAACCCTACTTATTGTGACTCATAAAGAAACCCAAAATATGGAAAAAGCCATATACTCATAAAATGTATATGTTAGCCTTATTTTAAACTGATAGAATTGAAAACCACCTAAATATTCAGCCTAAAGTATATTGTTTCCTATTGAAAAGTTTGCAGTACTGATGCCAAGGAGGAAAATCTTTATGCTATTACGATTCTAAGAGAAGAAAAGAGAATCTTAAACATGTTTGCAAACATGTTATTTCTTTTCTGAACATTCTCAAATCATCTATGTAATTTATTTTTATTGCTCTAGCATCAGTTTTACTAATCTGTAGTTCTTGTAATCTGTGCTTTTTTTTTTCTTTTCAAAATTAGGACAATTTCTGATCAAATCTTTTAGCAATTTTATTGTATAAAATTTCTCAGAAATGACTTACTATTTGTGACTCTCAATTTTTTTTTTAGAACCTGGAGATGTAATTTGTGAGGTATTGAATTTTAAATGCTTTAGGTAGGTCTTCAACCCACTCTTTTCATTTTTATTTTTTTAAATCTTCACCTGAGATTATTTTTTCCATTAATTTCTAGAGAGAGTGGACGGGAGGGAGGGAGGGGGAGAGAGAGAGAAACATCCACATGAGAGAGACAGGTTGATTGGTTGCCTCCCACATTCACCACTACGGGAGCTGGAAGGGGCTGGGGAACCTGCAGCCGAGATACCTACCCTTGCCTGGGAATCAAACTCGTGATCCTTCCATTTGAGGGCCGATACTAACCACTGAGCCAAACCAGCCAGGGCCCACTCTTTTCATTTTTAATTGTATTGTACTTACGTCTTTTAATACACTTTGCATTCTCTGTATTAAAATGTGTTCTCTCTATAATATTTTCAATATAGGAAATAAAGTCTTTGCTTTCACTTTTTGGAGGTCAGTTCACTAATAATCAGGAAACTTATGGAAAGGTAAGTTGAATTCATATTTTTCAGTAAATCATACATAATATAAATAGAATCTTGGATTTAAAGAGAAGAACTGCAAATGTTAAAGTTATAAAATTTAAAGAAACTCAAGATTATACTTTGGGATTTTATATGCATTAATTATTTTGGTCAAACTACATAAGAGAGCAACTACAAAATTAATCTGAAGTTTAAATAACCTTAAATTTGCTAGTATTGTCATTTATAGAGTCACTTATGAAAATGTTCTTGTTACCGGTGGCAGTAGGATATCCCTTTCTCCACTGAGTGCTGGGGGTGGATCCTTATGATATCTTGGGAAAAAGAATTTTCTGAGACTTGCACGAGAGGATGAATGAATGTTACTTGTGTGGAATTACGTCTCTGTGTTTCCTAAGTCTCATTTCCCTTAGTGTAGCTGGGGATTCAGTAGAGCTAAAGCAATTCAATGCCTAGAGTTTCTGTTCCATATTGCAGTCGGGTCCAGTTTAGCATCAGGCTGGTTGCAGTCCATTAGTCCATTGTGTGTGGGGTCCACATGGGCCGTGTGCGCAAATACAAGAAGCAGGATTCGAGCCAGGAGTCAACCAAGAGAAACCAGGAAAAAACCAAGAGAGCAAACTCCTTTGTTTAGGGGATTAAATATCTCAAAAATCTTCCTGAGTTTACAGTGGCCACGCCTACTCTGGCCACTGACCAGTCCCAGGTTTGACTGACAGGCAAGTACCTTCCTAATGCCACCCCAGGCACCTATTCTCCCACCTGTCCAGTTCCTTCCCCAGCAATCTGTGGGGAATGGACTGGTGGCTCCCTGAGGAGTGTTGAACTGCAGCTTCCTGGCAGAGCTGCCCAATGACTTGCCTATAATATTTGGCCTGCCCTTTTGCTCCTTTCCTGTTATTAATAACTAGATTAATTATAACAGTATCATTCTGATATTATAAAATAATATTTTATTAAAATGATTTACTTTTTTTACTATTAGAACAATGTTAATTTTGGTTAGAGTCAGATCACATATTGTCTAAAAGTAGCAAATAGGAATATCTCCTTATTGACTTCTTGAATAAAAGCATATGAGGCCATAAAGCCTATTTGAAGTAAGTTGTATGTTGTTTTTTTCTTTCAGTCTCCTTTTTGGATACTTACTATTCCCTCTGAAGATATTGCCAGAAACTTAATGAAACGGACAGTGTGTGCCAAGTAAGGAAAACTTACAATGTTCTTCTGCATCAGTGTATACAACACTTCTCATAAATACTCTGTCCTACTTTTTGCTATATTGGCAGAAAATAGAAGTGGTTAGTTGTTGGGGAAGTCAATTTAGCCTGCAGTTACCTGCATTTGCCACTGGATGGGGCTGGCGGGACAGAGGAGAGTTACCTGCTAAAACAGTGAAAGAATCTCAGTTTGAAATGCAGAAACACTTAGTTCAGAATAATTTTTTAAAACTTCTATATTAAGCAGAAGTATGGTATAAGATGTAAATGTTATGCTATTACATAGGATAAATGCCGCAGTTAATTATAACCAAAAATCTAAACTGTTTTTCTTGTAGATGGTTTTTAGTTGGATGAGCAGATTGTTGAATGTAAGATGACAAAAAGTGAGGACCGCCATGAAATAAGTTTTTCTGTTTTAGTTTTTAGAGGAGTTCTGATTATCGTAATTTGGTATGAGTTACACTGTTTATCCTACTTGAGTGTTTTCTAGAATTTATCATTGGCATTTTCTGTTTTTTCCTTTTGTTTCTCTTTTTATTGGAAAATTTTCTATTTTGGGGTTTGGAAGTTAAACTGTATTTTCAACATTCATCTTAAAATTGGGCCAACTTATGTTTGAGTTGCTTTGTTTTCTGAACATTTTGGCAGATTACTGAATGCCTTCTTTCCTTAAAAATAACATTTAATAATGCAGTGCAAATATGAATTTATGTATACCTAGTTTTATTAACATGGTTGGCAATATTGAGTAGACTATAAACCGATATTTAGTTAAATTCATCACAGTACTACCTCTAATCTCTTACACTAAAGCTTGTTAATGGGTCTAATGAATATTTAGTTAAATTCATCACTAATCTCTTACACTAAAGCTTGTTAATGGGTCTAATGTATTTAATAAAAATGACTAGACAATGGAAGCATAACTAAGAAACACATCCTTAATTAATTACTTCTTTAGATTAGCATATTAAAAGTTATGGCTCTCAAAGGTGTTTGATTTCCAAAGATGTGGTTCATTAGGTTTAAAGTAGTTGCTTGAGGACCAAGAACTTGTACACTTCCTTCAAAGCTCATATCTTCTGATGCATATATGTTATAAATGGTACAATTAACAATTATGTAATGATTATATAATAGTATATAATAATTTCTGTGGCTGTTTTTTATTTTCTGTATGTTTTGTATAGCTGAGGTCACTCCTTAAGTGATAACTGTGTAAGCGTAGGATTACTGTAGAGGCCCTCTTTCTATAAATTCAATACAAAGGAAAGGAGGAATTCATTTTCAAAAGATAATCTCAATTCTAATGGCATTGTTAATTACAGTTATAAAGTAGTTTAAATTTAGATGCACAGAACTGTGCTAATATGTAGATTGAGTTCTGTTTCAACTAATTCTAAGAACTATTTCACTGGTTGCAATGAAATGTTGCTTGTAATTGTTTAAATGTTCCTAGAAATATATGGAAGCTTAAGAATATTTTTTAATGTAAGAATTTCTGTAATAGTTATAAAAGTAATTGTTAGTTACTAAATGTTACTAAGTAATAGCTAAATATTAATAGTAACATTTTTATCCGGTCATTTTTCTTTTTGTTTATGGAGAAGACACTGGGAAAAATTGGATTTCCTGTAGCTTTTCACCCATTTACTACAATAACTTCAGACATTTTACTACATCATTTGTGATTTATGATAAATTTATCTGCTTATGTGTAAAGTTCAATTCCTCTGTGTAATTTGGACATAAGCTATATTTGTTTCCGGATACATATTCTCATTTGTAGTTTAGAAAACATAGGCAATACTTGTTTTAGTGGAATGAGCATAAAGAACTAGTGAAATCATTGTGACACATTACTGTGTGAACTGATCTCTTAACTGAGGTTAGTACTGATCATTTATTTCCTAGGTCCATATTTGAGCTATGGGGTCATGGGAAATCTCCAGAAGAGCTGTATAGTTCTCTCAGAAACTACCCTGTGGAGAAGATGGTGCGTAGTGAAGTGTGGTGTCATGTAGTCTGTCTGCAGATACTGTAGAATTCCTAAGCCTGAAGAACTTATCTGCTTTTATTTCAGGTTCCATTTCTACATTCAGATTCTACATATAAAATAAAGATTCACACATTCAATAAAACATTGACACAAGAAGAAAAAGTCAAACGAATAGATGTAAGTGAATTTAGCAAAACCAAAAAACCTGTGAAATTAATATAGTCTAACCCCTGTTGATATATAATAATTCCAATGTTTGTTACGTGTTTATTTAGTAGCACATTGTGTGCTAAGTATGTTTCATGTTTTGTTGAATTAAATCCTAATACCAAACTTATAAGATAGGTATTATATAAGCACTATTTTCCCTTTTACATTTTTATAGGACATTGGAATTACTTTTATTTTGTAGGCTCTTGAGTTTCTGCCATTTGAAGGAAAAGTAAATTTAAAGAAGCCACAGCATATATTCTCTGTTTTGGAGGATTATGGTTTGGACCCCAACTGCATTCCTGAGAATCCACATAATATTTATTTTGGTAGATGGGTAAGGAAATGTTCTTTTTACCTATTTAAGTTTATTTTCTTTCAAAGCTAAATTCTGGGCCTTTTTATTTAACTCTAGAGGTAGAACTTGATAGCAGCTGAAGAGTCAGAACTGCATGAATTAAAGTCAGTGAAAAATATGTGGTTATGTGGTTGGCTGGTTGGTTGGTTGGTTGGTTGTCCCCCCCCCCTTGGTTGGTTTGTTTTTCTAGAGATTTCGGGTCTAGGTAGGAGGTGTGTACCTGAAAACATTAACACAAGTCTTGTCAGAAAGTCTGAACTGCTTTCTCAGTAAAGCCGAGCGAGGGCCGAGTGCTCTGGTAGCTGAGGGACCTCATTTGCGGAGCTCTCCAGTCTAGGTTTCCATTCTGAAAAGAAATGAAATTACTGTAGAGTAGTTCTGTCCACTTCCCAGAGGCTCTAAGTGGGTGAGTGGAAGCTGTGGCTTATGTTACAGAATATTATTTAGAAGAAAAAAAAGATGGATAAAGCTTACTCACCACAAGCCCCTGCAATAATTGCATTCAAATTCAATTCAGATTTTGTTTGAAAAGTCAAAGTAAGTGACAACACATAAGAACTCAAGGTATTTGTCCACATTTTTTTTTTAAAGGAACAAGTTTAGAGCAGTAGTAAGTGGAAAGAAGTTTTCATCATCGAGATACTATGGTGGTTTTATTGTGAATGATTAGCTTAGATCTGTTCTGTACAGTTATACTAATTTGAAAAACATTTCTGATCTAGATTGCAGATGGACAGAGGGAGCTTATAGAGTCATACAGTGTCAAAAAGAGACACTACATTGGAAATACAAGCATGGATGCTGGTTTATCATTCATCATGGCCAACCATGGAAAAATAAAGAAAAATGATATTGTCTTTGATCCATTTGTTGGAACAGGTATTTTGATTTAACTGTTAAAGCTAGCTTAGAGATGTTGCTTGTTTATATAAATCAGAGTCATAGTAATATATTTTTTTTCATAGTAATATTTTTGCTAAAAGGTTAAATGGACAGAATAATCTTTTAATTATTATTAGTGCCTAAGAGATAACCACATATTTGTGTAATAGCCCGTATTTAACACTTTTGCCACTTCAAAGATGAATTTGTGTATTTTTTTCCAAGTAAACCACTAGGGGGAAGCATACTATACATTGCAATATCATACATTGTGGAAATGTTATGAAGCTATCTAGTTTATTTAAATAGGAAAATTCTGTGGGGGGAAGAAAGACTTAAGTGACAAAAAAAATGTGTCCATCTTTTAAAGTTGACAACCATATACTTTTCCATCCCTTGTAAGTAACCACCTTTTTTTGTTTGCTAGTTGATTCTTCCTGTGTTGTTTTCTATTTTTATTTTTGGTAGTGATTAGCAGATATATGTACATTTTATTTCTACTTTCTAACATAAAAGATAGCATAGTATATATGTTGTTTTTAAATTTTCTTTTTTTAGTACTTAACAGTATTTCCTGGAAATCACTTTCTATTTGTTCATAGAGATTTTCTTCATTCTCCTTTCCCCTATCCATCCCCACCCTCCCCTTTCCAACCATCAGTTTGTTCTCTGTATCTTTCGTTCTTTTTTATAATTGTACTCCATGGGTGTATATACTGTAATTTAGTCAGACAATTTCCTATACTTGGGCGTGGGTAGTTTCCAGTATTTTGCAGTTACAAATAAGGGTTGCAATGAATTATCTTGTACACTTATATCTTCATAATGTTATACACACACACACACACACACACACACACACATGCATATATGTATGTATATATCTAGGGTAAATTCCTAGAAGCTGGATTGCTGGGTTGAAGAGCGTATGCATATGTAGTTTTGTTAAATGTTACCAAATTCCTCTCAATTATATCATTTTACATTCTTGACAGCAATATATGAGAGTCCCTGTTTCCCTACAGCCTCACCAGCAGAGTGTATTATGAAGCTTTTGAAATTTTGCTATTCCATTGGATGAAAATGTATCTTAATGTAGTGTTAATTTGTATTTCTCTTGTTATGAGTGAAGTGTAATAAGTTTTTTTATTTTAAGGGTCATTTTTAGAACTTTTTTAAAATTATCTTTCATGTCTTTTGCCCATTTTTCTGTAGACTTTTTGGTCTCCTCAGTTTTAAAAAGTACTTTTCATGTTAGGGATTTTAGCCTCCTCTCTCCCCATACATGTATATAAAATATTTTCTCCCAATTTCCCATTTATCCTTTGATTTAGCATATAATAGCTTTTTACCATGCAAAAATTTTCCCTACATCCAATTTATAGAGGGATTAAGCTATGCATTTGGCTGGTACTTTGGTAGTCTTAATTTTTTCCTTTTAGATCTCTGGTCCATTTTGAGTTTATTTTCTTACACGTTGTGAAGAATGGATTTAATTTATCTTTTTCCAAATGCTAAGGCCTTTGTTAATCCCTAAACTTGTTCTTAGATGTTAAAACATTTTTTGAGATACATACATGTATATAAAGCTTAGTATGCACACATACACATAGACCAGATCATAGTTTAAAAATAGAGTTACCAATAGAGGTAAAACTTTCTTCCCTTCATGCAGATTAGACTGGGTATATTATGAAATGCTTACTTCCACAGCAAATGAGGTTTTCACTACTTTTCTTTTGGTAAGGACTGGGGAGACCTGCCCCTAAATTACTTTATGGCAGCTCTTGAAAGTGGGTAGCATGGCCTGGTCATTTTACTGGTTATGTATATATGGTACAGTTAATGGAAAATTGCAAGAAGCCCTTTACAAAGATGTTGCTAAAGTATCCTATATAATAAAAGCCTAATATGCAAATTGACCGAACGGCAGAACCATCAGTCGGTGGGCGGGGCCGTCGAGCAGGCAGCATCAGGCCAGCCAAGGCGGGTGCCAGTGGGCAGAGGGAGTAGACGGCAATTGAGGGACCGTGGTGACTGGTGGCAGCGGGGCGATGTGGGGGGTTGGGGCTGGCTGCTTGCCGGCCGGCGCCATCCCTCGATTGGCCCGCTGGTCACCTCCCGCAGAGGGAGGCCACCAGTGGCAGCAATGGGGGGTAGGGTCGGCCCCTTGGGGGGCGGGGCTGGCCCCTCGCTGGCTGGGGCCATTTCCCATCGGCTCACTGGTCACCTCCCGCAGGGGGAGGCCAGACTGTGGCTTAGGCCCGCTCCCCACAGGGAGCAGGCTTAAGCTGTCGGTTGGACTTCCCCCGAGGGCTCCCGACTGCGAGAGGGCGAAGGCCGGGCTGAGTGACCACCCTCAAGTGCATGAATTTTCGTGCACTGGGCCTCTAGTATTTTATAATTTGTGTTTGTAGTTTAAGCGTAGAATTAGGACTTTAGCTAGTTTTTGTTTTGAAACTGGTAATAGCCGATAGTTGTGAATAGACACAGTTCTTAAGCACAGTCTGTCCTCTTTCTAGGCCCTTTTGTCTCATTGATGGGTAGTACCTTCTGAAGGACTGGAGAAATAAGAAGCTCTGTGCCCTCCTCCATGGCCATATGATTTTCTCAGGGTTATAGACTAGGGTAGAAAGCTTCTGGGAGACTGAAAGGAGAGATACAATCTTTTCCTGCCCAAATACCTTTCCTTTTTCTGTGAGGTAATCTGCTACATTATCTAAAAGGACATGAGCTGTAGAAACACACTTTTCTTTCCATCTTAGCAAATATATTGATTCTCATTTTAAGATTTTTTTAAAAGCTGTGTATCTCTTTTCCTCACGGGGAAGATACATGTCATTGGGTCAATTCTCAATAGTTAAGCACTACTGTTCTGATATGAGCATGACTAAAGGAGTGATCAGCATGAGTGTGTTGAATACATACAATGGCATAGGCCTGCCTATTGTATGGTATAAAACTTGTGAATGGTATACAGCTCATACTAAGTGTGCAGCCTTACTTAATTTAACTTATTTTGTTTAATAACAAATTTTACTTTTGTTTTTCTAATTGGTAAGCTAATGTATATTTACTTCAGTTGCTGTTGACCCCAAAGGGGACAGTATGGCATAGACTACCATGAGAGCAAATAGAGTTAGTTTTAAATCCTTACTCTGTCAGTTACTATGTGAACTTGGGCAACATTCTTAACGTGTCTGGGCCTCACTTCCATCATTTGTGATATGGTAATAAGTAATACATTGTGAGGATTAAGTGAGGTCATATATGTCTATGAAATCCTTAGGAAGCTGCATGATGCATGGTAGACAGTCAGTGAACTGTATTGATTATCATTATTATTTTAAATTATTAAGAACTTAAGTGCCTTTTTGGTAAAGATGTTAGATATAGCCAATATGGAATGGTGTTGATGAACAATTGGGCCATGAACTTATTTTATAGTCTCTTCTTTGGCTAATTTTTCAAAATATTCTTAAGTTGCAACTGTTGGCAGATTATATCAGCAAGCAAGGAAATTGGAGACCTGCCCTAAATTACTTTATGGCAGCTCTTGAAAGTGGGTAGGTAGCATGGCCTGGTCATTTTACTGGTTATGTATATATGGTACAGTTAATGGAAAATTGCAAGAAGCCCTTTACAAAGATGTTGCTAAAGTATCCTATCTAATAAAAGCCTAATATGCAAATCGACCGAACGGCAGAACCATCAGTCGGTGGGCGGGGCCGTCGAGCAGGCAGCATCAGGCCAGCCAAGGCGGGTGCCAGTGGGCAGAGGGAGTAGACGGCAATTGAGGGACCGTGGTGACTGGTGGCAGCGGGGCGATGTGGGGGGTTGGGGCTGGCTGCTTGCCGGCTGGCGCCATCCCTCGATCAGCCCGCCGGTCACCTCCCGCAGGGGGAGGCCAGACTGTGGCTTAGGCCCGCTCCCCACAGGGAGCAGGCTTAAGCTGTCGGTTGGACTTCCCCCGAGGGCTCCCGACTGCGAGAGGGCGAAGGCCGGGCTGAGTGACCACCCTCAAGTGCATAAATTTTCGTGCACTGGGCCTCTAGTATTTTATAATTTGTGTTTGTCGTTTAAGCGTAGAATTAGGACTTTAGCTAGTTTTTGTTTTGAAACTGGTAATAGCCGATAGTTGTGAATAGACACAGTTCTTAAGCACAGTCTGTCCTCTTTCTAGGCCCTTTTGTCTCATTGATGGGTAGTACCTTCTGAAGGACTGGAGAAATAAGAAGCTCTGTGCCCTCCTCCATGGCCATATGATTTTCTCAGGGTTATAGACTAGGGTAGAAAGCTTCTGGGAGACTGAAAGGAGAGATACAATCTTTTCCTGCCCAAATACCTTTCCTTTTTCTGTGAGGTAATCTGCTACATTATCTAAAAGGACATGAGCTGTAGAAACACACTTTTCTTTCCATCTTAGCAAATATATTGATTCTCATTTTAAGATTTTTTTAAAAGCTGTGTATCTCTTTTCCTCACGGGGAAGATACATGTCATTGGGTCAATTCTCAATAGTTAAGCACTACTGTTCTGATATGAGCATGACTAAAGGAGTGATCAGCATGAGTGTGTTGAATACATACAATGGCATAGGCCTGCCTATTGTATGGTATAAAACTTGTGAATGGTATACAGCTCATACTAAGTGTGCAGCCTTACTTAATTTAACTTATTTTGTTTAATAACAAATTTTACTTTTGTTTTTCTAATTGGTAAGCTAATGTATATTTACTTCAGTTGCTGTTGACCCCAAAGGGGACAGTATGGCATAGACTACCATGAGAGCAAATAGAGTTAGTTTTAAATCCTTACTCTGTCAGTTACTATGTGAACTTGGGCAACATTCTTAACGTGTCTGGGCCTCACTTCCATCATTTGTGATATGGTAATAAGTAATACATTGTGAGGATTAAGTGAGGTCATATATGTCTATGAAATCCTTAGGAAGCTGCATGATGCATGGTAGACAGTCAGTGAACTGTATTGATTATCATTATTATTTTAAATTATTAAGAACTTAAGTGCCTTTTTGGTAAAGATGTTAGATATAGCCAATATGGAATGGTGTTGATGAACAATTGGGCCATGAACTTATTTTATAGTCTCTTCTTTGGCTAATTTTTCAAAATATTCTTAAGTTGCAACTGTTGGCAGATTATATCAGCAAGCAAGGAAATTGAGGATTAAAATGTAAACTTTCATTCTCTGAAAGTGATGAAAATAATTGGTCCAGGTGTCTGCCAGCGTAGGTAGCTGTGGTGTGATTTGATGACGGAGTCTGCAACTGTAGCTCTGATCCTTCTCACCTTCCCTCACAAGTGAACCGGCTCCTTTGGCAGCTGAGAGAGAATACTCCCAGGAGACTGCTGTTCCTTTGGCTCTGCCTGCAGATGGCCCGGAGGTGTAAGGGAAGGAGTGTGGCTCCTTTTGAAATGTTATCATTGCAAAATGATAGACACAGGTGCTGGGAAACTGACCGTCCTGGTTCTGGGGGGACTAGAGGGAAAGGTGAGGAGAGAGGAATCGATCCCTGTGGGTGTGGGGAGCAGTCTCTGCTTCCCATTGTGTCCACAGTTCTCTGTGGTTTCCTTTCCCTGAGTTTTATAGTTTATGAAAATTTCTCTATTCTAGCAATATCCTCTTGCTTAGGCTGCTAGTTTAGTTTATTTGAGGTTTTTTAAAGGATAAAATAGATGTTAATAGTATCTCCATTTTTCTCCTTTTTCCTTTTCTTTCAGCAAAACCAAAGCCAGTCTCTCATTTTCACACTTTGTGAAGCTTTCCACATAAATCTCTAAAGATGAAAAACAGGCATTAATTTCTTTGTCATAAGTAAAATTCATGTATTGGGTCCTTTTGCTTATATGATATTACCCTAACCTTAAAGTGGTTGCTTTTTAAGTAATGAGAAATCAAAACACTGAGTCTGTGGTATTTTTACACTTGAAAGCATGTAATATCAGGTGAGTCCATTACCTGCCCCCTCAACACTTCATCCCTGCATTTTATCACCCCTTCATCCACCAGAAAGCTTCCAGGAAAGTCCAGCTGAGGTATAGCTAAATGCAAAAAGTGCTTCAATTGAATGGAAAAAAACAATTAGATGATTGACAGTGGTTATTCAGTGACTAGATCAGAGAAGCTACTTCATAATGATTTTATTTAAAACTTTAAAAGCTTAAAGGGCACAGAGGTAACTAACAGATTATTCATCTCCTTGCAGCAGTGTACTCTAAATTGGGTCTGCTCAAAACTCACTAGCCAAATGGATAAGGTTCTGTTTAAGGAAGCACAGGAAAGCTTTTCTGTTCCCTTGACAACTAGCTCTTCTAGGTGAGTATCTGCCTTAATTGGCAGACTTGTAGTAATTCCTCATAATTTGGGTGAAGTGATTTTGTGAGTATTCTACCTCATCACATACAGTAACTTTCCCAAATAGGGACTGTTCCATTTGTAGAGTAAGAGTTATGAGGACCTACTTACCTTACCTCTCACACGAATGCGTTTGTAGTTAGTATGAGGGAACCTAGGTTTTGGCTTTTGCTCTGCTTTTAGTCCTGCATTTCTCTTCTTCAGGGACTCCAATAGGAAGTAGCCAGTTATAATATTTTTCATGGGAAAAGTATTTGTAAGTACATGCTACCAGACTGTGTTTTAAATGGCTATGGGGGAACACTATTCATTTATAGATCTTGACCCTCTGGAGGCACTACCCATCTTAATTTTAGAGATTATATTTCAAAGTATATTAAGGAAATAGCCCTAGTTATTTTCCCTTGGCAAAGTCTGTGTACAGTCTAGAATGTACTTCTGTTTTCAGTTTGACCTTTCTATAGAATAGTAAACAGAAAAATGGTATTAATTGTGTGTTTCATAGTAGTTATTTAGAACTTAATATTTATAGTTTTAAAATGAGGTCATTGCCTTACTAGTTATAGAAATAACTATTTTTTACTCTAATATTTTAATTTTTGCAAGGATTAATGTCTTACATAGTAATTATGTCCACTTGAATTATTTGAAACTCTGACTTCAGTGCCTTTGAGCCCAGTGGTCAGAATTTATTTATTGCCAGCTCTTTGTGTAGCAATCATCTGCTCATTTGTAAAAAAGGAGCAAGATGCTTTGCATGGATCTCTCAGAATGAGATGAAAATAATATCAAAATATACATTATTTTGAAACCCCCCCCCCAAAAAAAAGAGATAATTTTCTATAAGTATTGCTGTTTAGAGTAATGATGCCAAGTCATACATTAATTACCTGCTTTGTGACCGCTGTAGTGAGCATGGCTTAGGATTTGTTTCTTTTAGTTTGGAGGCCAGGACCATTGTCCTTCTAGGATACTCTGCCTGCAGCTAGTTTGTAAGAATCTAAGTGGAAGAAATAAGAGTCTGGGACTTTCTGGTTAACATATCATAACTGTGGTTTTTTTCAGGTGGCCTTCTGATAGCATCTGCTCATTTTGGAGCATATGTATACGGGACAGACATAGACTATAACACAATTCATGGCTTGGGTGAGTATGGTTCTAGACCAGCCGTGGGCAAACTACGGCCTGGGACAGACATAGACTACAACACAGTTCATGGCTTGGGTGAGTATGGTTCTAGAGTCTAGACCAGCCGTGGGCAAACTACGGCCCGCGGGCCGGATCCGGCCCGTTTGAAATGAATAAAACTAAAAAAAAAAGACCGTACCCTTTTATGTAATGATGTTTACTTTGAATTTATATTAGTTCACACAAACACTCCATCCATGCTTTTGTTCCGGCCCTCCGGTCCAGTTTAAGAACCCATTGTGGCCCTTGAGTCAAAAAGTTTGCCCACCCCTGGTCTAGACAGTGTTGCAGTCTTTGCTTTTGTACCAAATGTGCCTTTAAAATAGATATTTTTATATGGTATTATACATCCACTTTTACTGTTAAGAATGAAGAGTTGTGGTATAATATAGTTTTACTTATTTTTACAATAAGACTTCCTTGGGTATCTGCTTTTTACGAAGTGATCCTGGGGGAACACAGTGATGAATAAGAAAAGGCCCTCCCTCAGAGGTATTGTGGTCTTAGTAAGAGAGGTTTTTTAAAAGGAGGCGAACTATAAGGTCGTGAACTTTAGGGTTGGGAGAGAAGAACTAGGAGAGAGCCATTTTGTAATCAGCATGACTGTGTTAATAAAAAATACAGTTTTTATCTGAAGATTGCTTGCTTTTGAGGGGATTTTGGAAAGTAGTTTAAAATCTGGAAGCTTTGCTGATGATGTGTTATTCAATGAAATTGAATCAAACTGTAAAAGTAATTCCTTATAGCTGAATGGTATTAGAAATGTCAGGTTTCATTGATGATTTTAAAGTTGTTTGTATATACTAGTTAAATTATTGCAGCCAGAATCAGCCCTTAAAATACTCTTTTCTGCCGAAACCGGTTTGGCTCAGTGGATAGAGCGTCGGCCTGCAGACTGAGGGGTCCCGGGTTCGATTCCGGTCAAGGGCGTGTACCTTGGTTGCGGGCACATTCCCAGTAGGAGATGTGCAGGAGGCAGCTGATCGATGTTTCTCGCTCACCGATGTTTCTAACTCTCTATCCCTCTCCTTCTTCTCTGTAAAAAATCAATAAAAAATATATTTAAAAAAGAGAGAGAGGTTGACATAAAGTTAGAGAGATCTAGTGCTTCTTTCATAAAAATCCTGTTACAAATCATGTAACTAAAGTAGATTTGTGGTTGCTCAGGGCCTGAGAGGCTTCGGAGAGGGAAGTAGCTGACAACTACAAGGCTTCTTTCTGGGGCCATGAAAACGTTCTAAAATTGGCTGTGCTGATGCACGCACCGATCTGTGATGCCAAAAACCACTGAATTGTGCACTTTAAATGGGTGAGTGGTATAGTATGTAAATTATATATCAAAATAGCTGTTTTCAATACTCTTTTCCTTTTTCCCGTTCAGTGTAAATTATTATATAGGTGAAAATTTATTATGCGTTCTTTTGCTAAAGCAATTCGATATATTGTACTTGATGACCTGTCTTTTTTCCTGTCTTGACTATAAGGAATTTAGTAATATTTATCATAAGGAAAATGAGTTGTATTTAATCAAATTCACCTAAGTAAGCTAACCAGAAAAAAATATTATTTGTCTGCAATATGTTAGAGTAGACAAAGTATTAGTACAGCTTGCATTTAGTAGAAGTGGTATGTTTGCTTTAAGGAAATTGTCATATGTAATTTATTTGAATTTTTATTTATGAAAGTTGTGTTTAAAACTTGTTACAACCTTTCAGTGTACTTGGGTAGAATTCTGATGGACGTAGCATTTCCTCAGAGCTCATCCAAGATGCTGTTAGATATGTTCATTCTGATCTCTTACTGTCCTCAAATATCCTCAAGTTTCTCCTATTTTTAAAAATACAAAACCTTTTCTGTCAATCCTGTAGACACCTTCTAGCTGCCATTTTGTTTTCCTCTTATTTTGCCAAAGTACTTCTTGAAAAACTAGTATTTTCTTGCTATCTCCCCTTCTTCATCTCTCATTCTCTGGTGCCCATTATTTGTCAGCTTTCATGCCTACTGAAAGCTCTAAGGCCACAGATTTACAGCATTTGGCAGTGCTGACGTTTATAATGTCTCCTTTGGTCCCCGAGACAGTACTCTCAGCAGGTTGTACTTTATGTCCTTGGCTTCCATTGCAGCCTCTGTAAGGCCCACAGTTTTCTTTGTTCTGTGTTTACACATTGCTTTTCTCCGGCATCTCTCTGCCCCCTTCTCCTGTCAACACTACATTATGCAGTCATGTCATTCTTCTCCTTTTGACATTTAAGTTGTTTTTATTGTGAAGTAGAACATTATACAGATGAGTGTATAAAAATAGAATAAATATAAAACAAACATGCATGTAACTGCCACCTAGGTTAATAATGTCATTCATTCTTACGGATTTAAGTTAAGTTTCTATACTGGTGACTCCTATGTGTGTATATTCTGACCTCCGACTACCTGCTGAATAGCTCTTCCTGAATGTTGTGTAGGTAGCTCACAAGCAAGATTGATGTATCTCAAGTGAATCACATCTTTTTTCCTAAGCTTGTTTTTCCTCTTGGTTTCTGTCATCTTAATTGATGGTATCCCATCATCCACTTTTGTTTCCTAAACTAGTACTTTTGAATAACTTCAATCCTGGTGTAACTTTTCATCTGTAATGTCTCCATTCCCCCCTCTCCCCTCACTTCCTGATCACATGCATTTCCCAAATTAGCTTTCTTAGTTTTTGTTTCATTGATCTCATTCATCACTACATCAGACTGTTTGGTGCTAGAGGAAAGGGACCGTATTTTATTCAACTCTGTATCTTACTAGTATATGCTTTGAACTCAAAATATATTTTTATAATAAGTTAAAATAAATGTTTATTTGTATAATAAAAGGGAGATTTTTTAAGTGAAAGCAAGTTTTATTTGAATAAATGTAGGTTTAGATGAGTTAAATATTACTTTGATTTAGTACTTCCTGTCTTTCTTTTTCTCTCACTTCAGGAAAGGCTAGTAGGAAAAACCAGAAATGGAGAGGACCAGATGAAAACATTAGGGCAAATCTCCGTCAGTATGGGTTAGAGAAGTATTACCTTGATGTCCTGGTTTCTGATGCATCCAAACCTTCCTGGAAGAAGGGCACATATTTTGATGCAATCATCACTGATCGTAAGTTTGCTTTTATACAAAAGTAGGAGTAGGATTCGTTTCCTGAAGTCATTCACATTTAAAATACAAACTTTACACACACACACACACACACACACACACACACACACACACGATGCCAACTTGTACTGGTATTCCCCCCACCCCCATCTTCTCATAGTGAGAAGGAAAAAATTTGTGAATTAAGGTAGGGTACCCATTTAATAGTCAAGAGTTTACTGTTTAGTTTTCATAAACTATGTATATTAACTTGTTATCCCTTTATTTCTTCAGCTCATTTTTTGAGGCATATATTTGTTTTCGTGTTTGTTTTATATTTGGCTATAGTTGGTCATTAGTATACCCACTGCATCCAAAATGTCATTTGCAATTATGGTATCAGATTTCGAAGAAGAGATTTCATGTATCACACATTTTTTCCATGTGTAAGTTTTTGTGTGTTTTTGTAGTGCCTGTTTGCACTGACATCTCCTTTCTAGAGTTACAAGAAATTCTGTGGACACTGGGCTTGCGAACGCACTGAGCTTCAGGAATACACAGGACAACTGTTCTGTGCCTCATGAGTTCTTGGGCTTTTCTGGCACCCTATATAAGAACAGATCTGCCTTTTCTAAAGTATTTGGCAGTAAATCTATAAATAGTGGCAAGTGTATCTCAACCCTTCCATCTCAGCTCATTTTAGTTCTTAGGTAACTTAGATGGTATCACATCTAACAAAAGAACAATTACGAAGGCATTATAATGTCAGCATGAAGATACTTTATGAAAACTGGGTAACTTTTTAACTATCTACTTTATTGTTGCTTTCATTATATATTTACATAAAATGTAGTTTTTTCTCTGATGAATTGAGAATAAGTTGTATATATTGTGGCCCTTTACCCCTATACTTCAGTGTGTCATTTCCTAAGAATAGGGATAGACTCTTAGATAGCAAAAGTACAGCTACCAAATGCAATAGTTGAATCTACAGTTTGCCATCAATTTTGTCAAATGACCCAATATCATTTATAGCATATTTCCCCCTCTAGCATAGTATCCTAGTGTCAGGTATTGCATTAGTAATCATATCTTTTAAGCTTCCTTTAATTTGTAACACTTTCAAAGCCTTTCTCTGTCTTTATGACACTGACATTTTTGAAGAACACATGGCCTGCCTGTCCTTCCAAACCTTTTAAATCAAATGTTCTTTGTGTTACACATTCTCAGCTGGAATATTGCAGAGGTGACGTGTATCCTTCTCGGTGTCACAGCTGGAGGCACATGAGTCCATCTGCCCCTCACTGGGGAGTAGGTGACTTTTGACTACCTGTGTTACCTGTGTTTTCTGTCTAGCTCCATATGGTATCAGGGAATCTACAAGAAGAACAGGTTCACAGAAGGAAATCCAGAAGGGGATAGAAAAATGGTAAGTGAAAGCTAAATATGGTGTGTTTCTACTTTGAGAACAAGCATGTTGCTTCTTGCTAATTAACTCAGTTTTTAACAGCCTTAAAGATTTTTACTCATTTTGATTTTTTTTTTTTTTTGTCTAGTCCAGAAAGCCATGTTCCTGTTTCCTTGAATTATCATCTGAGTGATATGTTTTTTGACCTGTTAAACTTTGCAGCTGAGACCCTCACATTAGGTGGAAGACTAGTCTATTGGTTACCAGTATACACACCAGAGTATGTAACATTAAATTATTTTATTTTTATATGATGTTTGTATATATAGCATATTTTTTTCACTAATTGTCTTTAGGATAAATATTTTTTTACGTAGTAAAATGGTAGTCTTTGTTTACCTATATACATGTATAAAACTGGCCCCTTCCTCTTATTGACGGGATTACTTTGACCTGTTCATTTGATGTCAGGGGTTAATAAACTATGGCCAGTGGGCCACATATGGTCCTTAGCCTGCTTCTGTAAGGTTTTTGAGCTAAGACTGGTTTTATATTTTTAAAGGGTTAAAAACAACAACAAAAAGAACAATATGTGACAGAAACATACATGGCCCACAAAGGCTAAACTATTTACTCTCTAGCCCTTTAGAGAAAAAGTTTGCCAATTCCTATTGTACCCACACTGGACTCAGTGCCTGATATAGCTGCTGTTCAGTGGCTGTTTTTCCAGGCCACAAAGAGGTAATTTCTAACAACTTCACTGAGTGATTCGTGTACCTACTACTAGCTAGCTTTAATAGATATTGGCTATAATGATCGCATTGAATGCAATGCATCTTTTTAAATAACTAATACCAATATAAAAACTATGCATATGCTTAAGGTCCTGATTATGTTCAACATTATTGGTTTGGGTTTTATTATTCAGTAATTATTAATTATAAATAGAGCTGTGTATATCAACAATGAAAGACAAGATGTCTTGAACAAGATGAGATCCTTAGATTGGAAAGATAGTAGCAAGATCAAAATTGGGCTATTCTTCAATTTGCCTTAGAAATCTTTAAAAAAAAAATTACGCAAGTAAGCTTGCTGCTGGAATTTAGCTTATCTAAGGCAAGAGCCATTTTTGCACAGACATAAATAAATGTTCTCTCTGAAAATATTAATAAAACCCCATCTATCAGTTCACATACCAGATACCTGGGATCTGGCAGAATGTTGGATTACGTGAACATAGTACTGGGAATAAAGAAACCAATAAGCTAGCTTGCTTTTTACTTTAGAGAAGTCATTTCACTCCTTAGAATTAACTTTCCTTATTTCTAAAATGAAGAAGTTAAATGAGATAAACACTGGCAACAAAAACATAAGCTGAATCGGCATGAATGTTTAGTCTTCTTATCAGCTAATAAACAAATACACGGCTAAAGTTAGGCCAGGCCTTTGCAACTTCCAATGCAATGTTTATAAAACAAACAACAGAAAACAGCACAGCTTTCAACTGCCATTAAGAAAAGACAGACAACTTTAACATTTCTAAAATGCTTTTTGTATAATTATGTATAGTGAATGTAAGAAAAAGAAAAATTACATGCTATAATCAAGTTCTGGTATTATTCCTTAAACCCAGGACATTTTGAAAAGTATAAGACATAGTAAAAACAAAATACTACCTAAAAGCTTAGTTATTTGTGAAGAATTGTTAGAGCTGATGATTGAAAATGGATTTTCTCACTGTCTGGTTTTAAAGTGCAGTCAACAAACTTCTGTTTTTCTTCCTTGAGTCTAGATTCTCCCCACTCTAGTATATCAGATTTTTTACCAGTATCTAGATGCTCTGTATCTTTTCTCCTTTGTGTATTCTGTCCCCATTGCTTAATATACTCTTCTTCCCTCAGCTGGTAAAATTCCAGTCCTCTTTCAAAGCCTTACTTAATTGTCACTACTTCTGTGAACTTTTCCCAACCCTTCTCAGCAGAATTCTCAATCCTTCATCTGAGCTCTCATAGTTTACTAGGGGCCCAGTGCACAAATTCATGCACCTTGAAAGGAACTGTGGGCTGTGAGGCGGTAGGCACAGGGTTGGTCTCAGCCCATCCTCTGCACTTCCCGCTCAGCCCCTCCCGCCGTGGCCCCCAGTCCCCTGCCTGCCGGTAGCCACGCTCCCGCTGCCGCCACTCCTACGTGCTAACATCACCGGCCTCGCTTGCACCCGCTGACAGCATGGAGCGATTAGAGCCGGCACCAGCAGCGGGTACAAGTGGCAGCTGCTGCCCCAATCATCCCTCAGGAGCAGGGGGAGGTGGAGAAGTCCTCAAGGGCGATCAGGGCCGGCAGCCGCTGCTCACACTCAGTGATGGTGCCGAGTTATCGATACCGGTGCTGGGCACCGGCAGTGAGTGCAAGCAGTGGCTCCAGCGCCGGCTGCGGGTGCGACCGGGGCCGGCGCTGGCAGCAGGTGCGAGCACTGGGCTAGACCGTGGTGTGCGGGAGCAAAGATTTTTTAGTAACCACCAGAGGCTCGCCCTGATCACAGCGACTGGCACCCTGCCTTGGTCTGGCACCCCGCTCACCTGCTCCACCATCTCGCCACACTGCAGATGCCCGCCATGTTTCACGCATGCCCCCTGGTGGTCAGCACACGTCATAGCAACCAGTTGTTCGGTTGTTCTGCCATTTGGTCTATTTGCATATTAGCCTTTTATTATATAGGATTCTTGCCACTCAGAGAGACTTGCAACATAAAATTACTGTAGACCATTGGTATATGTGGGTTTATTATTCAAAATCATAACTACTTGAAAATGATCCTGAAGAGTTGAGTAATATTCCTTTGGACAGGGCGTGAGTTCCACTCCTGTGTGACTGATGTTATAGGAGTTGCTAAGTTATTTGACCAGGTTCCACATGTCCATAGGGGGTTGTTTTCTGAAGTGATTAGAAACCGTTTCTTTGTGAACGATGTCCTTTAATAGAGATCCAGTTGGTAGTGCACATGATAAAAATGCTGACAAAGAGAAGAAGCTTAATAAAGTGCCTCAAAGTAGGATTGGGGGATAAAATTTAATTGTAATAAAATTAATTTTGTGGCTCAGAGCAGTGAACAGAACATGTTTTTCATGTCACATCTAGGAAACAGAAAAAAGTGATTTCTTAAACTGTTTTCAGTAAGTGCTCCAATCAATAACAAATCTGTTTCTCAAATGGGAGGTGAAACTGTAGTAGCATTTCAAAATAGCCTGAGGCATGAAAATTCACAAGAAAATAAGTGATTTTCAAAATTGATTCATGGAAAAGCTAGGGCCTATATATATAGTCTTTTTTGGCTTTTATAAAAATGTTAAAACGTAATTTGTATACCATGCAAGTCACCCTTTTAAAGTCCATGGTTTTTAGTATATCCACAAAGTTATGCAACCATCACCATTGTCTAATTACAGAGCATTTTTAAAAAAATAGATTTTATTGATTTTTTACAGAGAGGAAGGGAGAGGGATAGAGAGTTAGAAACATCTATCAGCTATCTCCTGCACACCTCCCACTGGGGATGTGCCCGCAACCAAGGTACATGCCCTTGACCGGAATCGAACCTGGGACCCCTCAGTCCGCAGGCCGACGCTCTATCCACTGAGCCAAACCGATTAGGGCTACAGAGCATTTTTATTCTCCCCAAAGAAGCCCTGTGCACATAAGAAATATCTATCACTTCAGTTCCTGGCAGCTGCTTATCTGTATCTGTGGATTTGCCTGTTCTGGCTGATTTCGGTTTTAAATAGATGCTTGGATTGTAGAGGAAAGTAATCCAATGGAATTAAGATAGGATGCTGCAGTATCATTATAGTCCAGGCATAGTACCATTTATAGCTTCCATTTAATAGTTTGCACACAGTTCATGACTATGAAATATATTAGTAATTATATAGTAAAGAAATTTTACTGCTGTTTTTTTAGATGGTATTTTGGGAATATAATATATAGTAAAGAAATTTTACTTTACTGCTGTTTTTTTAGATGGTATTTTGGGAATATACTGTTAAATTGATTGTCTTGTTAACATAATAGAGTAGTGGTTAAAAACAAATTTGTTAATGATAATGATGACCCAAATGATGTACCTTCCTGCTTAAACTTACAGATCAAGTCTGAAAGAGAATCTAAAACATGTAAATATTTTTTTCTGCTGTTAAGCCAAACACTGGTGACTTTGTTTTAGCAATTTATCATCATTGAAGTCATAAGTATTGATTAAAATTGTATTGGTTTTGTACTTCTGGTTTGATTTATAAGTTTATTTTTTATTTTATAGTTATATAGGGGATATAAGCATAAGGAATTTATCTCTAATTTATGTTTGTATATATTTAAGTAATGTTTTAATAAAGATGCTTTGTCATCTCCACCAGGAAATAAAAGATTTTTTTTTTCCTTTGAATGCAAAGTTTGACAAACAGTATTAGACATCTGTAAACCCTGCTGTTCGCAAGTGTAAGGTCAAGGCTCTATCTTCTCTCTCTTATCACTTTTTATTTTTAATCTGTCAATCATGGTGCTGAATGTATTCCTTCATATCATAAATGCTTTGTATGAAGACTCCAAATTGATTTTAACTATTGTAGAAGTACAACATTTCTAACAATGTAGTAAACGTTAGAGAATTATTAGATGAGGTAAAACCTGAATGGTCATTATTTGTTGGGAAGCCTTAAGGAATAGTCTGAGAAAGACTTCAAGAGAATTCCTCCCACTGATAATAAAATGAAGTGCATTATAGATGTTGCTTGGTAAGTGGGTGATGAGGGTTTTGAGCATGTGGTTGAGGTAATGGGGAGAGTGCCTTGAAGGTCAGAGAGACCTAGAGGTCAGTAAAACGGGTGGTGAAGACAATGTTGACGCGTTAGAACAGGCTAGCTGACAGGCTAGTCTTTTACGTGAAGTGCGGTCAGCTTCTTACCCATTTGGGAGCTTTAAATGTCCCCATGTGATAAATGTTTCCAGAGACTATCTAGAAATGTATAAAGATTTGCAAAGGAAAAGTAAAAACTGGCCATCACAGTGTTATTAATGGTACCCATACCTTCCCCATTGTTCTTCTGCATTCTGTTCTATAGCTGTTTTCCCCACGTCTGTCACCTGCTTTTTCTGCCAATATTGATACCAATAACCTGTCCGATGTCAGGTTCTGAACTACTGCAGCCTGACTGTCCTGTTTTCTAGGTGTCATCATCTCCATTCACATGGTTCCTGTGCTGCACAGTAGCGGTTACCACTGCTCATTATCATGGCTCCCTTAAATTTCATTTCACAGTTAAGGTGGCCAGAGAACTGGTGTCATCTGTAATGTTTATTTTAGTGGTAACCTATTTGAAATATCTTATAAATAACTTTAGCCTGATATTTTTACAAAGTTAATGGAGGTCCCAGGATGCCATTAAAATTTTGCAGGGGCAAAATTTTATTAGGGAAAGTATATGCCGTAGTGGACTTCATACTTTAGGAAATTATAAATCTCCTGATGAATCAGTCTCATGAATGTCAAGTTGTAGAATGTATTTATCTGTTTTAGGTGTTCTTATGGGATCTTTTAGGGTAATTGTCTTGTATTTTTGTGGTTTAATTTCTTGTAATTCTTCAATAAAACATACTTATATTCTCTTATTCCCATTCTACAGGTAAAACAAACTACTTTTCTCAGATGTGGTAGTATTAAAATACCTTGCTTTTTAAAAAACCTAGATTGTTTATGGGTTATGTAAGTGGTGAATATTAAATAAACTGGTACCACATGGCTGTAGTGGGAGGGGGTCTCATACACACCGAGTAACCCCAGTGACCATCCTGTGTGGGGTGTACATGCGAAGTGTTTGTAACAGTCAGCTGTTCTTCCTTCAGATACACTGAAGAGATGGTACCCTGGCATCCTTGCCTGAAACTTATTAGCAACTGTGAGCAGAAGCTTTCTAGTCACACAGCAAGGCGCTTGATAACAATGGAAAAGGTGAAGAATTTTGAGGTAAGTTATCCTAATACTTTTAGCATAAATTCTGGAAGGATCACAAGTTGATTTCTTTAGTTTTCCTCTAATGGAGTTTGGAAATGTTAGTCCTTGATAAAAAAAAAAAATTATTGATGAATTCAGAAAAAAAAAAATCAGTGAATTCAGGAAAAGTCAGAAGGTGAAGAGTATGTGGCCTTTGGTGGAGTTAGCAGGGGTGGGGAACATCTGGCCGGTGGGCCATATAAGGCCTGGGAAAATCATTTGGTCAGGCCCTGCCAAAGCATTAGGGGGAGTTAGTTAGATGTTTAACCAAATATAGCAGGCCAATTTTTAAGTTGATAATTTTATATGGCCTGTGAATGATGTTACAGATATTCAAATGGCCTGTGGCAAGTTCCCCACCCCTGCGTTAGAGGGTTGAAGTAGGATATAGAAATTGAATAGAAGCACAGAATTAAAGTTGACCTTAACTTCTCAGACTTTATTTGACAAACTTGTTGCTAACTCAATTATAAAACAGAAGAGCACTCTTAATATAACTCTCATTTAATTAGCAAACTGCTGTTTACCATTTTTCTCCAAGAGCATAACCTACTTGATTGTAGACTATACTGAATAGGAAATATCACTTTATATAAGGGAGAAAGTAGTCTTTTAGGGCCCAACACATCATCTTTCTTCTTTCTTCCTCCTCTTCCCCCGCCCCCCCCCCCCAACACACTTATGCTTGAGAAGAAAGAACAAAACATCTGCAGTATCTCATGTCTAGATCAGAACAGAATTGATAAGAGTAAAGCCTTATAATGGAGCTTGACTAAATGCAGAGAATGCTCTTTGGACTGTACTTAACCTGGATTGACAACGGAAGCCCTCCCAAATTTACTAGAAACTTGGGCAAGCCTCATCTTTGCTTTGGGTCTATAGAGTGAACAGAAAAGAACAGTGTTACTGCCTTAGAATTTAGCGATGTGGGCATCTTTTCATGTGCCTGTTGACCATCGATCTGTATGTTTTCTTTGGAAAAATTTTTATTTAGATCCTCTTCCCATTTTTTAATCAGATTTTTTTTTGCTATTGAGTTGTATGTGTACTTTATATATGTTGTATATTAACCCTGTATCTGATATAGGGTTTTTCCTTGTGATGTCTTTGTCTAGTTTTGATATCAGGGTAATGCTGGCCTTTGAGTTTTAATTCTTCTTTGAATGGTTGTTAGAGCTCACCAATGAAACCATCTGGTCCTGGACTTTCGTTGGGAGGTTTTTGATTTCTAATTTTATTTCCTTATTAGTAATCTGTCTGTTCAGATTTTCTGTTTTCTTCATGACTCAATCTTAGAAGGTCGTATGTTTCTAGGAATTTATTTACGTATTCTACGTTGCCCAGTTTGTCGGTGTATAATTGCTTATAGTAGTCTCTTATAATATTTGTATTTCTGTGGTATCACTTATAATGCCTTCTTTTTCTTCTGATTTTATTTCATTTCTATTTTAATTGTGGACAGTTTCACATTTTCATTCCCTTGAGTTTAATTTAAGAAAGTCTAATATTCCAGATTTATAATATTTTTCTAAGCAAATTAATTTGATACTGAGAAGAACTAGAGAATGATATAAGGATGCTTCTGAGAATTTTTCTTCTACATGAAAATGGTAAGGGCACTCACCTTAGATATTTTTAAAGCTTTAAAGCAGTATTAATTTTTGTTTGGTTGCTTTTTATCATTTTCCTTTTAAAATTTATTTTTTTAAAGGATAAAGACTAATACTCAAGTAATTTTTGATATGTTTTATAAGATCAAATTTGATCAGTGAGTTTTAACTAGTATGGGATTTACTATAACTTAAAATACTCTCGTTAAATTCATCATGCTTGGTTTTTAATTAATTACTTCATTTCTACCTTCTGTTTGTATGGCGAGAAGTGTATATAATTGCAGCAAGATCTCAGTCCTTTATAATGCAAGTGATGACATAAAATTGTCAAACAGTTCTCACACGCGTCTAACAAATTATTCTTGGACTTGTTCAGTGTTGTTGATTTTGGCAATGGAAGACTATTAATTTTAGATTTTTACACTTTTGTATACGTATCTCTTCATTTTTGATTTGTCACTTGTCAGGTTTAACTTCAGTATGACTTTTGGCCCACTTGCTAGGTTGTTAAAAAATGTTCTTCCTTTCCCCCTTTTAAAATGTAAACAAATGCAAGAACTGTCTAAAGAATATAGATTTTTCATAAAATTTTGTATCTTTAGATTATTGGCAATAGTTTTTAGATTTATTGAACATTAGTAGTAAAGAAGAACATTCTTGCCAACCATGTTGAAATTATGAAGATGCCTGATAAGGAACGCTAGTTTTTTGGTCAGTATTCCATGCTTATATAGTCTGAAAGCTAGGTGGGTGATAAATAACACTTAATAATGCTTTATTGTTTACAAAGCTTTTAGATTCATTGACCTTATTATTTTGTACATTTTAGAGACTAGGAATTGGCTGAGTTGAGACGAAAATTCTTCTTTGTACTTGAAATTCTATACCCTTTTTTAGGCGTCATGTCGCCTCTTTACCAAAACACATTTCTAGCTTTAGAATATGCCAAGATTAAAAGGCAGATACTAGTTTCTTTTAAAGATAGTCTTTCCTCATCACTCATGGGACCACGGTAGAATATGATTTGTTTTACCAGGACTCATTTCTCCTGTTGATACAACATGTAACTGATGCTGCTATATATAGTTTTGGTCAGAGTGGTTACTCTTATACAGTAGTTTTCTCTTATGAAATTCATAGGAGAGAAATGCTGATCTCCAGAGTTGTGCATAGCAGATTGGAATATGAGTGTAATAGTTACATCTCCAGTGAAAGTCACCTAAAACAATACTCTCTCAACCTTTTCTACCAGTATACTTGGACAGATGAAAAAGGTCCCATAGTAGCCATTTTCAAGACTTCCTTGAAGTCTTTTTTATACGTCTGTGCCACTATTACACTCTATAGTACTTGTTTAAATATAAAAAATTATTTAAAATTGTCGTTGCACTAAATGGGCCATCCTGTGCACTCTTTGTTTTGTGGTTTGTTTACCTGACTTGGTAGCTTATACTCCTAGTTATTTTGAGAAGGACTAAAGTATTGGTAAGTTTTATTCTAGGTTTTATATGGACATTAATTTAGATTAGTGTTAAAATATTCTGTAAAATAGTTGCCATTATTTTTTGTAGCTAGTCAGAGTAGTTCAGATTATTTAAAATAAAGAATAGTGGACGATCATAGTGGCAGGTGATGAAAGTTAATGTAATTTTTTATTTTGGACTGAATGAAAGTGTCTAGTAACATGAAGCTGATGAATGCTTCATTAATCAGAATGGAAGGTGGCCAAAACTGAGGGTTTTGACTAAAGGACTGAAAGAGTTTGAAGCTGTGGAGAGAGAAAGAAGAATTAGCATTATAACATGTTTTAGATGAGGAAGGGAGAGAACAGACACTGAGTTCACTTGTTTGAGACAATGACTTATTGATGGCTTGAAGTGGAAGGAATTTGTCTTTGTGATAAGTAGTTTATATAGTAGAATGGTAGTAAAGTTATATTGCTAATCATAAACTGGTGTTTTGCTGAAATAATGCTAGTTCCTGATTCCATTTGCATTATTCTTTCTTAGAATTAAAGTCAGTAGTTGTTTTTTCTTTAGCAGCTGTTTGAATTAAAGGTGTTTCCTTTTGGTTGTCGTTTTTGCTGAGATATTTTTGTTTTTTGCTTGTCCATTGTAGGATGGTGGACAGTTTCCTTATGATTAGAACTATGAAAGATTAGAGATTAGGTATGAAGTATTTTTTTTATATATATTTTATTGATTTTTTACAGAGAGGAAGGGAGAGAGATAGTTAGAAACATCGATGAGAGAGAAACATTGATGAGCTGCCTCCTGCACATCTCCCACTGGGGATGTGCCCGCAACCCAGGTACATGCCCCTGACCGGAATCAAACCTGGGACCTTTCAGTCCACAGCCCGACGCTCTATCCACTGAGCCAAACTGGTTTCGGCGGTATGAAGTATTTTAATCATACAGCATGGTAGTGGGAAATAGATGCTACTTCATTTATCAGTAAGGAAAATAAGACAAGTAAGAACATTGGTAATTGTATATGAACTTAGTCTAGGTCTTAATACAGTACCATATTCATTATCATCAAAGTGTGAAAGTGTGTGTGTGTGTGTGTGTGTGTGTGTGTGTGTGAGCGAGGACCTTTCTAAAATTTATTTTGCGAAAAAGGTCAGAAGGAAAGTACTTGCATTATCTATAAATCATACATTGAAATGTTTGAGAAAGGCTTATAAAAGCAGAATCCTGGTGATGCTGCATATCGTGTTGCAGAATTCCATTTTAGGGATCATATCACCTACTTCTGAATGAATTGCTTTGCTGTTAAAGGTACTTTTCCTTGAATTTAAATTTTAGAGGGTTATCATTTTACTTTTTCTTTTATACTTCTGCAACTAAATAATGTTGCCAAACAAACTGGATTTTTTGTTAAGTTAATGGTCTTGTAATAGTTTTAAGTTATTGTTTCTGGCAAATCAAGAAGCAGCAAAAGTCTGTCTGTCGTGTCCCCCCCCCCCCCCCCCCCCAATTATTTAAGATCTCTGGTGCCACTTATGGTGCTCTTTGGATATGACTCTTATTTGTAGGACAAAGCTGTTCCCTCAAGGCAGAGCACCTGTTTTTATGTTCCAGCTCTAATGCTCATATTTTCAATCTTGACAGTAAAATAGTCTTTAATGTACTGATGCTGTAGAATCTTAGGCAGATGTCAGTTGCAGAATATAAAGTACAATCTGGGAGTCCAAGGTACGACTGGTTTAGATACATGGAAGTTTATGTGTTGAATTAGCATAATCCCCTGGAGCTTCTTTTATAATTCTCATCTGACAAAATTTCCACTTTGTATTTTTTTCTAATTTATCATGTTATTTAACTTAGAATGATCTTTCTAGTGCTCTTCAAATTCA